CCCTGCCCACCATAACCCCACACCCCTCCCACAGCCCCCACCCCAACCACCAATCCCACACACTACATCACACACAACCATTCCCCAACCACACCCCTCCACGTACACCCCATTACCATCCACACACAATATACAAAAGGACTGTATTTTGAGCTATTATACAATCACTTCTAGATACACTTCGCAAACACATAAATCAGTACAAAAATATTTCTGAATAAAATTAAAATAAGTTATAGTAGATGTTTTATTTTTTTGTATATGATTCATGATTTTTTTCTCTGGTTTCAATATTGCAGCACCCTCCTTCCCAAAAGGAGTGCTTCGGGGCAAGGGGAGGGACTTCCAGTGGCAAAGATCAGGAGTTTGGGGGGCAGGATGCCTGGTTCCAACATGGTGCCTGGGGGCGGGGCAACTGTCAAGGGGCAGGGCTACCCATGTGGCCCTCAACAGCTTGCCAAAACTCAGTAAGCAGCCCTCCAGATGGAATAATTGCCTGCCTCTGCGTAAGAGGAAACGCTGCATATTAATAGTAATTGTTTGCCATTTCTGATCTTTCCTTGTAAAATGTTCCTACATACAGGTTTACTTTGTTGACCAGAAGTACTGCTAGTGTGTTCGACGTAGTGTTTCAAAGTGAAATTATTCTTTGTGAATGGTGTCAGGTTGACTGCTATTTATATCCGGGGCTGAAAATCAAGAGTACAATTATAATTCAAAATTCCCTGCCAATCTGCGTCAACCTTGATCTGACCTGGGACCAACTTCAGAGATGACAGTAAATGTATTCGCCTTGTTCTTTCAGCCCCTCACCTCTTCATACTATTACTGTATGTGCCATTCAGTTCTGTACATACATCACAAAGAGCCTCTTAATATATTTATAAAGTCAATACTGAGGGCTTAATATGCAGCCATAACCTTTAAAGTTAAGAAGTATTACCTACATTTTTGAAAGAAGAATTCATTTTTGAACACACAATTTCCCAAGAAATGTTTGCTCTGCACATGCACCCATCATCCCTCCAATGAGCATGATTCATGTACACTGATGCTGTCCTATCCAATTCCATAATGGAGGCTTGTTCCATAAGCCAAATTCTGCTGAGTGGGTGTCTACATTGCACCCACTCAGTGCAATGTAGTCTTTGCTTTCAAACAAGAATGTATTCTATTCACTCAAATACACTGCTAGGTCTGGCAGACAATGTAAGTGTTCAAAGTTTGGAGCTTCTACTTGAAAAACGATGGGCTGTTGGACTATGATTAAAATTCAGGAGGCAGGAAATTCAGAAAGCCAGAACACAGCTTGGAACTTTATCCCTCAGTATTACACACACTAACTGTCAATACAGCTCTTATTTAGTGTGCTCTGAATACCAGGTGATCCTAGGCACCTACATTTGTGCTGCAGTATCTACTACAGCACAATAAGGTGAGTCAGCTGTTTCAGTATTGCCAAAACTACAAAACGCCTAGGACATATGTACCTCTGTAAATATTAATGCTTAAAAAACAATGCATCACTGCACTGCAGCAGTCAGGTGCTTAAGAGTGAAATGTTAGCTTTGATTCAGACTTAGTCTCAGAATCATTTGGGTGAATTTAAATCAGGTTGTTAATAAGTGTTCAGATGATTGTTGTGCCCTGGTTTATATAGCAATACATTAGAAAGCACCATTTGAAAGCAATTACAGTGCACCTAATGAATGATTTATTTTTTACCTGATTTCCTCCCATGCCATGGCAGTTGAATATGCCCACTTTTTCATTCTCTTTGCGTCCCATGTTATCCAGACATTGGTTAGTTTCGACATTTCTGATCTGAAGAAACACAAGGGTCAAAACAAAAGCAGGTGACTATAAAATCCAGTAAAACGCCAAACAACGTCACTTCAGTCAACCACGTATCACAGCAACCTCACATCACCACATGCTGTTTCTGCAGTGCAGTTTCTTTCCTTCTCTTGAAGGCCAATAAAGAGTTCATTCTTTTTTTTTTTCTTAACAGGAACTTTTATTCTATTGGGCCACATACAGGTATTGTGTTTTTACTGAGAGAATCACAGTTCTCCCCGTAGAAACCAAGAATATACAGGCATTTACACAGTTTATCCCAGACCAACAATCCATTATTTTTTCTCTGCATGGGAGAAAAATACCCCATCTCTGACCTAGCAGAGGTTGCTTCTGGGAGGATGAATGTCTGTACACTTCCCCCTTGCAGGGACCACAAGGAGTTGAGCCGTAGGGAAGTGCTCCCCACACGCTCCTAAGACTGGGGGCTCCCCAGACTGGTGCCGCTCTCCTCTTCTCAGTTCCAGAAGAATTTGAGTGGTGAGGAAAGGCTCCCCTGCCTTCTCCAGACCAAGATCATCCTGGTTTGGAGAAGGCACAGGGGGAAGCTGCTCCCACCTCTCCCACAGACGGGAAGGGGAAGGAAGGAGCAAGTCATTCCTTGCTCCCTGCTTGTTCCTAGGTCGGAAATTCCTCAGACTGGTAATGGGGTTTGCCAGGCTGCTTCGCTACTTTACTTGTGACCACTGGAAGCCAAACAGAAGAGTGGCCTATCCTTGGTTACTGCCTGCTCCTCATGCCATGGTCCTCGGGATCTGAAGAGTGGGAAGGGGGCTTTGCCCTGCTGCTCCAGTTTCCCTCGGAATAGGAGGACTGGAGCAGCCACCATTCCCCCTGCTTTCCCTAGATAAGGGTCATCGCTCCCCCAGACTAGTCTTGGGAAGGTACAAAGAGCAGAGGAGAGGGGGCAGTTGTAGAGTAATGCTTGTACTCTCCCAGAAACATTTCTAGCAGTAGAAAATGTCATGGCCTTGGTGAAAACTTGAAAAAATACTGGTCTTAATTCTCTTGCCTTTCAAAACATCTTGTTAAGCTATCATCTCTGGGTATGGACAGAGGTAATTTTCAAAAGAGGAATCAGAGTTGCTGCTTGACCACATCAACTTGTACTCCTGCCTGCTCCTACAGTCATATAAATGCGCTATATCACTAAACATTTAACTCTGAATGGAACAAGGATACGGCTACAATGCTTTTATTGCTGCAGGTAAACAGATGTAACAGTTACTTTGTATTGTGACTGAACAAACACATATTTTGATATGTGGGCTTGGGCCCCAAACAGTGCAGTTGTTCTGAGGTCTACTGTAAATTAAAAGAAACTCAAAAGACACTGAAAAAAAACACAATAGGATTAAATCTGCAGAAGCAAGCACAGTAGAGGGCCTTTAAGAAAAAATATGCTTGCAAACCTCCCATTTGTGAAAATTTGATAATTGCACAAGCAACTACCCTTTTGAATGTTCAGCTACATGAATTGAAAGCACTAATGGATGTTTTATCATAGATAATGTATAAATATAATGTACTTTACTTTTCAAAGCATGTACCCAGTTTTGAAAAGTAGAGTAGATTAAAAAATGTGAAATATTACAACACACATACAATGGAATAAACTGATATACCATTCAAGTGTATGGAGGACATTCACTATAATTCAATGCACTGTGCTACTTTACTTACCCAGTGAGACATGGCTTCACTGCAGAAAGCAATATAGAACAACATGATTTCTTAGATTTCCCCATTTATTTTATCCCAGCAGGGCTAGTCTGAACTCTCCAGCTTTCTCAGGTAAATCACATGAATACTAGACAGTTTCCTTTGTCTAAGCCTGTCACATGAAGTCTTTAAAAACTGAGTCTGTCTTGCTCTGCATAGACACTTAAGACCTCGTGTCCTTCAAAGGAATAAATGGTTTGCCTTGGTTTCTTTTGTCTGAAGCACTCTTTCCCCTCCTCTGCAATACAATATCCTGTGCAGCTGGTTGTTCCCAACATGTGTTGTCAACATTTTAATAAGGGGCTCCAACTAAAATTTCCCCCTTGGTCCATAACAACTGCTCCATCCCCAGGGGCAAATTTAACTGCAGAGAGAATGGATGAAAAACATTTGGAATCTGGTAAATATTTCCACAGTTAAATAAAAATATTTTCTTGGGATAATAAACATGGAACAATGCACCAATTCAGGAAAGAAATCTCTCTTCAGTGCATATTTTTCTTTGGCATATTTTACAGTTTAGTCTTAAAATCAAGCTAGTATCCTGTTTTTATTAATGCTGAACACACACAATTCCCAGTGAAGTCAGTGGGAGCATCAGGTATTCAGCATCTCTGAAAATACCACACACTTCAGAACTTAACAATGTTCTTCTGTAACAGAGAGTGTATTTACCAACCCAAGGTTGTCTTTAAATGATTCATACATACTGTGCTTTTAGGCTAGGGACAGACATTCAAAAAGCCTGAGTCTAAATTGATTCAATCTTTGCAGGTTAGTCTAACCTGGCTAGGCTGAACCAGTTTGTAACTGCATAGACATCTCATACATGCAGGCACATGCCTGCAGTGGCTCAGGCTAGACGCCAGGGGGTGCTAGAGCAGACCTCCCTTCTCTTTCAAAGTTCTGAGCTGAGGGGGACATGGCCAGGCCCCTGTAGGTTGCTGTGATTAGGGAAGGGTTCCCCCCTATCCCTTCTGACCAGCTCAGCAGGGAATTGATAACACAGTGTTTATCACTCCATTAAGAAGACACCAGAGGGACATTACCAACTACCAGTTGATTCTGCCTTTGTCCTGTCTGCCACAGCACAGACCATAGCCAGCATGTGGTCTGCTAGCTAATACACAGACACCTCTCAGCAAGACAGAGGGGAGGGGGAAGTTCCTGCTTAGCAGGGAGCGGTGAGCCAAATCAGTGAAGTCTGATAAACCGGTTTGAGCCAACTCAGTGAAGTCTGATACTACATTCAATGAGGTTTATCTCAAACCGGTTTCAGCCATTTTCAAACTGATTTATGTGCACTGAACACTTGTCTCTAGACTTGGGGCCCACCCCTGCAGGAAAAAAGTGGTTCCAACTACAGACCTAATTCAGCATCCTCCTTGGTAACAGAGGCCTTGTCACTAAGGCATTTAAACAAGACATTTATTTATTTAATTCATAATTTTTTTAAGTCCTAATAAACTACCAGTCTATCTTTCTGGTCCACTTAAGCTGCCTGTCAGCATGACCTATGATGGATCAGGTATACTGGGAAACAAAACCGTCTGCTCTGCAAGCCATGGATTTGCTTGAGGGATTTGGTTCATTTATAAATGAATAACACTACTCTCAGTTCTAAGCCAGTCCTTCAACACTTTGTCTAGAGTCCATGCAAATTACTGCAGTGCAAATTCTGTAGCAGTCCTAAAAATAAGGCCATGCAAAGGCAGAAGATAGGTTCAGGACTAGCAGTGCTCAGCTTGTTTCATTGTTATAAAGCCTACTATATGGGGATTGGGAATTCAAGTTGCTGTCCCTGGATATGTGCTGAGGGTGAACTGTCTCACACTTCTGGAAAGAGATGCCACCTCTAATCTCCATTTGTAAAGATGTGGTAACCCACTTCCTAGCCGCAATGATTCTCCCAAGTCAAGTGTAGAAAAGGCCTTGCTGAAACCTTTTAAAAACCCCTACATTTAACAGATCTTAAATTTGAAGAATTTTAATGCTAAAGGTGAATGTTTTCAAAGTTTTTGACTAGGGGATTATAATGGAAACTAACCTGAAGCCTCAATATAAAGTGCACAGCTAGAATACTTGCTGCTCTGCATCTTACTTTACATTCCAGTTTCAGGTATGCATGAATAAAACATGATGTTTAAAGAACTTCCGGTACTCATTCCACTTCATAAGGCATATATGCTACATGATGATATACTCACAGACTTATAATCACATCTGTATATAAGGTTGAGATTGACATGCTACCTCAACATAAGTAAGACGTTTAACAACAATTAATTTAATAGAAAAGATTAGTCATTGCATCATGATCTGCTTTTTAACCCTCTGTTACACATGCATCCTTAAACTACTTAAGAACATTAATTCTATACAATTGCATATCTTTTGAGATCTCGCTTAAAAATTGTACATTTGACTTATGAAAGGAACAGGGTAATATTTAAATTATTTAGTGGCCAAGCACAATTCAAATTAAACTGAAATATGATACCAATCATTATTTCTGAAATACTGAGATATGTAAAAATACAAATGATTAATGGTAGAGAAATATTATTTGATTTCATAGCAGTACTATGTAAATCATGCATGAAATCTTGCAAATTTAGGCAAATAATCTCAATCTCAAGTGAAAGCAGTTATTCCTCTTCTTGACAAAATAGATCAGACTGTGCACCCCTTGAAATGTATAAGTGTCAAATGTCAAACACATAATTTAGCATCAGATCAGAGAATCATTTTACTTAAAAAAGAATCTGCTGTTAAATAGCCAGCCAGCATCTCAGCAAGATGAACAAGAAGCTTGATCTCAGAAGACCAAGCTGGTTATGCAGAGAATGTTCGATGTTATAAGCCTAAGGGTTGCTGTGCTGTTTAGCTAGCAGTGATCCCAAATAAGCAATTTAACTGAGCAGGCTAGAACCCCTAGTGCTGGCTCTACCTGAAACAATATGCCTTTTAAAAGAGGAAGAAATGACACCCTTAAGATTTCTTTCAGGAGATAATGTAACTGTTCTTTTTCCATTTTCCACATATAGTACTCTGGCTACATGTGCAAAAATCCACCTTCCTTAAGTGACAGCCTGTAGCTGAAATTGACAAGTGAGAATTTTAATTCACAGATGCTGCCTGAATTTTTCCTCTAGTTCCCATGGAAACTCAGTCTGTATGGGTGAAAATAAGGTATTCTTAATGACTGTTTTATAATTTTCACATACCTTGGTTTCCCAATGTGACATTACCTTGCCAAACCCTATTATTTCATGCTCATTAGGTAGGATCTTTTCTTGATGTTCTTTTAAACAATGTTTGACTTTTTTCATGGTTAGTCTAAAAACCCTAATCTGGGCTTTACTTGGCACTGCAAGTTCTTAACGTATAGAGAGGCTACTTTGCCAACTGTAATAAAACTGTAAGTGTCTGACTGCTGCTCTATCAGTAGCTATCTTTTTATAGAAGAAGGCCAAGCTCTTAAAACACAGCTCATATAAAACATAGCTTACCGTTACACCATTCTGTTATCTCAATTGTAAAAGGTTTTTGTTCCTTCCTGAACTAAAGTCTTGTGTTTGTTAGGAATGTTCACGATATTCAACTCTACACAGCTTAGGGTAAGATAAGGTAATACATGCACAAAACACATTCAGTCAAAAATTAGATAAATCATTCTCTACACATAAGGCATGTAAATGCTGGTGGAAAGCATTGTCTCCAGCTTTGGCATGTTTTTTTTTAACAGTATTAGTCACAAACATTATTTTCAAGCAAGTTACTTGTTTTAGAAGACAAATCTTTAAGTATGAATGTAGAGGCATGCTGTAGAGACATCCTCTTCTGAAGCATTGAATAGAAAAGAAGTTTTTTAAAATAAAAAAAAATACATCATGTTTGGGGCACACTTAAGAAGCATTTTACACAGAATGCTAGAGAAACTCTGTTCATTACTATTGCTCCCATCTGCACAATTTCTATTTTTTTCCTACTTAGCCAAGATAAATAATTCATACCTCACCAAGTGAGTAATAGCGTCTTGGAATCTGGGAGTCCGGATAGATGTTTTCTAGGTACCATGAAAAGGGTTTACATTTCAGATTTTCTCTTAATGCTTTTCTTACTGAAACATCACCATAATCCACTTTAACAACACCTAGAATTTTTGAAAGAAATATATAATCAATGAACAGCATCCTTGCAGCTACACAGAAATGCCACAGATCATTTTATAATCATTTTCCAATTCCTATAATTATAATTCAGTAAGATACAACAGTATTTGCAGGTGCTACAACACTGATCTTTTACAGTCATTCAGTTTAGCAAATTAAAGGCTCATAAAAACAACCTTTTTCTATTATTTATAATTTATTAATCTGAAAATGTGTAGCTGCATTAAATTATTTGTTCCTTTATTGGATAATTAATGGCAGATAGTATTAAATCTTATGAATTTGGTAGGTCAGAATCAAAGTTCAATTAAAAAAGAACTTGAATAACTGAGAGCCATATCAATTTATCCAACTTTACTGCATATGAAAATATTTGAGAGCAGCTAATGTTTCAACTTTATAGTTCAAACTGCTCCCTTTTAGCTTTAGTTTGCCAGCTGTTTTATGTGTTTTGATCTCCTCCTCAGAAAGAAAAAAACCCTAAGTTTTTAAAACAAATGTTCAAAGGTATGTTGCAGGTCTGTTCAAATTTAAGAAATTATTTTAAGAGCAGTAACTTAAAAGAAGGATGGATTATTTCATGTAAAGTTCATGTATTTTAAGTTTGCTAGCTTTAAAAGGCTGACTGAAAATAAAATCCACATCACAAAACTGTCCATATATAGCTGTAGCAAGGTTACTTTCTTCACTACTGAGAAAAATTCATCCTGCCTTCCTTCTGTTTCATGTACACTGGGAACTAATGATTCAGGTCTACAATACAACAGCCAGCAGTTATAAACTGCTCCTGTTATGGACCTGCAATAAATTAATACCCTCTGGAATAAGAGAAACAAGGAAGAAATTGTGTCTTGGAGGCTGCTTCTATGTAAGGATGAACCTAAGGGCACAGTCTATGGCTAATAACTCTTAATTAACAGTTGTAGTAGTGTTATTTGTTTGTTTTTCTACTCTATGAACTTGCTACTTCAAGTAAACAGGGGCTAGTTTCACAAAAAGGACTTAACTATTCTTTTGGATATCTCATTGCGAAAGTTAGATTCTGAAAATACCTGTCCTGTTGCCACTTAAACCTTGGCACACTGGTGTTTTCTGACATTAAAGATCCCAAAAAGTACATTTAAGTTAAGCTAAATTTTGACAGTGATGAATAACTTAGCAGCTGTCTCATCTTTAATCTATAATTAGGTGCTTCCTGCCAGCCTCACTCACAGAGCTCAAACCAACAGAAGTGTACAGTTGGGGAGGCCCACTTCCAAATCCAGCCCATGTGATAGAGGCATTAACTCCTACAGCTACCAGAATTGTTGCATCAGTGGGGCTATCACCCAGGGGATTAATGCCGCTACCGCTCACCCTTCCTCACCATGAGTCACCTGACTGATGAGAAACCCCCCTGGGCTGAATCCAAATGAGTATGGTGCCCTGATCTAGAAAATTCATGAAATAAGTGTCAAGATCTCATGATGTTCTGGGGAGAGCAGCCTGTCCAGCCAAACAAAATGGATTGCAATTAATCTACTCATGATATTCAGACTACCTTTCTACTTCCACCTTAGTGCTGACACAACAAGCACTCTCTGTGTTGTGGGATGTGTTTAAGTGTTGTGTTAAAGAGATGGTGCAGAGGACTGCAGCCTTTTTACGTTTTTTTGTTTCCCAGAGTGAGCAGCTCTTCATGCAATAGTCAAGGTAATGAATATATGGATCACTGTAGCCAGATTTATACCCAACAGAAAGGAGTGGAATTCCTGACCAGTTACAGATGGATGTGCATACTGGAAGGTGGGAAGGGGGAAGGGAAGAGGGTTGATTGACACTGGTGGCTTTGACTTCAGTAGGTCTGTGCATGGAACAGAAGCCTGTCAGTGTAAACCAGGTCTTCTAGATTGTGGACCATGTAGAGAAAAACCTTTTCTTGATACCTCCCTTCCCTTTTCTCATTCATGTAACAACTTTACATATTAGAGACATGGAAGAGTATTAATTGATAAACAGTGGACACATTTTAGATGTATTTTTCTGAGATTTAGTAATTAGAAACAAGGGAGGCTAGGACCACATGATGACAAAGAATTCTTCAGACCATCAACAAGTGGTCCACAGCCTATAGTTTGAGAAATTATGCTCTCAAAAGACAAAAATGACCAAGGTCAACTCTTTTCTGTGGCTACTGCTCCTTCAGTTTCCTGAAATTACTTCATTTCAATTACTTTGCCACATTGTAGCCATCGAAAAATTGACATTAACCAGCTAAACTGATTAGTTCTTGGCATAACACAACCCAAATCTTCATTTCTGAATTTTATGATGATATTAAATGTTTTTGTGTTGTACCTCTTAATGTATTTCCCAGTTGCACTGAATTTCCTATGCACGTAAGTTCTATAGAAGGGATAGTACCAGAGTATACTGCTCCCTGTTCAGAATCTCACCTAGTTACTATAAATAAATCAATTCTATACTATTCACATGGTTCACTGTATCAGCCAGTTGTCAACTCATCAATCGGACGAAATATGGAAAAATACCCTAGCACATCTGATGTTCACTTTTTTAGATAAATATAGGTAATACATTGGAAATGGAAGTGTAAATGTTTTCTAAGATTCTATGCTTAATTTTTATTTGGGAAAGTTCTCTGCATAATCTCATGACATCAGAGATGGATGCATATCAAAGCTGGGCAAGAAATGATTTTCTTGTCTTCAAAACTTCTCAAAACTTCAAAAAAATTTCCCATTTTGTATAGAGATGAAAACAGTACCTTTTAATGAGGACAGAGAAAAGCAGCCTAGAGTAGCCAGTTTCCTGGTGGTTAGGGCACCCATTTGTGAGGTGTTAAACCTTGGTTGAGGACCATCTTCTGTATTTTTTCCATGTCCCAGACACCATTGCTATTGGCTATTTTTTGGGAAGCTCTTCTTACCCTCAGGCTCAAACTGTTCCACTTCGTAATAATAAAATTTTGCTAGAGCAGGGACTTGAATCGGGATTTCCCACTATCCTGACCATCAGACTCAGTCACTACTACTTCCTCTGATCAAAAACTCCATCCTGGATTTGATAAATCTTTTTCAGTTAAATTTTTAGGAAAACTGCTATGATCCTAGAAACATTTTTATTTTGCTGAACTGGAACTTTCCACCAGGGAAAAAATAATAATTGAATACATTCCTACTCAACTCCATTGTGAATGTAACTGATTTTCTTTTAGATACAGGCCTTGCTGGAACATAGATTAGTGCATATACTGCTCATATAAAGGCTCTGACCAAAGCACTGACCAAAAGTAGGCCTCATTGAAGATGTAACTAATATACAAACTGCATACGCAAAACTTAGGCTGGAGTGCGCATCAGTCATGCAGACTTCTCACAAGACCTGTTGATAAGGCTGGAAGGGGATGGTCTAAAACACACAAGATAATGAGGAGATGTACAAGGAGCATGATGATCTGCTAAAGATGTGTTGATGTTTGTTATGAATATAGTAGAGGAATTATATGATATAAACAAAAGCTATTTTGATCAATTTATAACAGGGGAACTGTAAACCCTTGGAATTTTGTACTTCATCTGCACTGAATACCTGTACTCGCTTATAAACATACACTGCAGGTTTAACAACTATCACCCTGGAATCGCATTCTCTTGCAATACTTCTACACTAACATCAACTTTCTAGACACCATCCTAATTCTACAGCTTGGAGGGCACCCTCAAATCAGTAAATACAGAAAACACATCGACCACCACACAATGTCCACAAAACCAGCAATCATCCCAAACATTAAAAGAAAAGGTGATATCTACTCAGGCCCTCAAATACCACCCAGCAAATACACTTCTGGAGAGAAACAGACTGTATCTTTGAAAAAGTCACCTAAATAACCCATAGTAACCTATTACTATACAAGAGAAAACACCTCGCTGAGCTCATACCTTTGTTTGTCACCTACCATCCACACTTGATGCATCAAAGCAGCACCAAACAGCTATAGCCTGTATCTGAAAAAAAAAATCAGCCCTTAAGAAATTCTCATCCCAAACAGGTCTCTGCTAATCAACAGACACCTAACGTGAGCCAGCCCTGCCTTAAAAATACAGTCAAAACCTACCAATGCATCTCTACTGCCACAAAAAATACTCCCAACAACATCATAACCCATGAGTCACACACGTCTATCCCAGAATGTAGCATATCTAAGTTCAGTGAACAAAATGCCCTCATGGTAATTATGTGGGTGAAACCAGACAAAAACTATGCACCAAAATGAGTGATCACCAAACAAGAAAGATAAAAAGATAGAGATCTTAGAACACAGGTAGAGGACATTTTTCATAGAAAAAAATTACTCCCTGTCTTTCTCATTTTACTCAAGGAAGTCAACAAGATGAGCATGGTAACAGCAATTCATTAGGCTAAACACTAAGCAACTCCAAGAGCTGCTCTAATTAAAGTGCCACCATGTCTTATGTATCAGTGCCCCTATGCTTAAATATGTCAGCAGGGGCACTTAAAGTAAAGCTTGCTCAACGAGTTTTAATTCAAGTGCCCCTGCCACCATTTTTAAATGTGGGGACACTGATACACAAGATGCAGGAGGCTGCTGGAGTGTGGTAATCAAAGGCTTTACTGAAGTCTAAGTAAATCACATCCACCTCATGATTTACTTCAGGTCCATCGCCCACTAATTTTTGTGATTTATATGATCTGATTTTGAAATTTTACAGGTAAATGTGCTAGGGGGATCAGCAACAATTTTCTCACATAAATGCAAGGGAATCAGACCCCTAATACAAAATGCTACTACAGTAAAAGTCCCATTAACTGGCACCTTACAAGCCAGTACACTCTATTAACCAGCATGCCAGCTTGTAAGGTAAAGTGAAACCAGAAGTGTCCACTGTGGCACTTCCGGTTTTGCTGAGCCCCCATGGCCTGGGGGCATAACAGGCTGCACGGGGCCCATCTCCCT